TCTCGACCTCGGACCTCAACCGAGCTGCGGAATATGCGAAAAGATTTTACTCGTCAACCAGGGGAGCACATCATCACCTGGTTACTCCAATGCTGGGACAATGGGACCGATGGTCACGAACTAGAAGGTACAGAAGCCAAGCAGCTGGGATCACTTGCTAGAGAAGGGGGAATTGACAAAGCAATTGCAAGAGAGAAAAAGTCCCTCAGCCTTTGGAGGCGGCTCTTGGCAGCTGTGAAAGAAAGGTTTCCGTACAAGGACGATGTTACGAGTCGTTCGGCCAAGTGGACTACTGTAGACAAAGGCATCCAGTCTCTGAGGGAATCGGCCATCGTAGAGATGCTCTATCACATCAAGCCGAATAACGGGGATACACCTATAGATCCAGATGAAGTTGAATGTACACGACCCATGTGGCAAAAACTTACACGGAATGCACCGTCATCATATGCCCATTCATTGGCAACAGTAACCTGGAATGACATAGTACCACTAAGAGTGGATGAAATGGTTCATAAACTCCAAGAGTTCGAAGACAACCTCACCCCTTCCATCATCTCAGCTGTGAAAAAACTGTCCCAGGACCTCGAACAATTGAGGGACGATCTATCTGATTTATCCAGCTCCTCACGTGTACCAACACACGTCTCAGCTATTAACAAAAGGCGTCCTATTGTTCAAGAGAGGAGATACAGGAGGTATACACCACGGGGTACCCTATGGTTTTACCTGCTGGATCACAGAGAAGACATGACAAAGTGGGATGGAAAACCTACTTCAGCTTTGGAGGAACGGGTGAGTGAACTGAAGAGGGGAGCAAGGGCCAAGACTGATCGTCCCATGAGAGCTACGGCTTCAGTCTCTGGTGAGCAGTTTCCCAGATGGAGTGGAAGAGCTGATTTTACTCCAGCTCCTGTGATAACGAAGAATTATCCCTTTCACCACGACGTAAGTGTCCAATGCTGTGACGACCATTAGAGGGGCCCCGCCTCCAGCCAGGTGGAGGTAGGGGACAATCGGATTTACTGGACTGTGTGGATCAGATGGCCTGGCACATCAGTCCCACAGAAGTATAAGGCTCTAGTAGATACCGGTGCACAGTGTACCCTGATGCCATCAAGCTGTCAAGGGGTGGAACCCATCTATATTTCTGGAGTGACAGGAGGATCCCAAGAGTTGACTGTGCTGGAGGCTGAAATCAGCCTGACTGGGAGGGAATGGCAAAAGCACCCTATTGTGACTGGTCCAGAGGCTCCATGCATCCTTGGCATAGACTACCTCAAGAGAGGGTACTTCAAAGACCCAAAAGGGTACCGGTGGGCTTTTGGTATTGCTGCTTTGGAGACTGAGGAAATTGAGCAGCTGTCCACCTTGCCTGGTCTCTCAGAAGATCCCTCTGCTGTGGGGTTGCTGAAAGTTGAAGAACAACAAGTGCCAATTGCGACCACAACAGTGCACTGGCAGCAATATCACACCAACCGAGACTCCCTGATTCCCATCCATCAGCTGACCCGTAGACTGGAGAGTCAGGGAGTGATCAGCAGGACCCGCTTGCCCTTTAATAGCCCCATATGGCCAGTGCGAAAGTCTAATGGAGAATGGAGACTAACAGTAGACTATCGTGGCCTGAATGAAGTCACACCACCATTGAGTGCTGCCGTACCGGACATGCTAGAACTTCAGTATGAACTAGAGTCAAAGGCAGCATATTGTAGCACATCTGATGGCTTCTACTGCTTTTCAAGAGACACACTGGGGAACACTACAATAGCACAGATGCACTGTTGAGGGTAAAGGATCATTTGAACACGAGTAATCAAGTCTGCTCCAGTTCAGTCAGTGGCATGCTTGGCTTTGCCACTCCACCTAAATATATACTTGGTGGGTAATGCGGGAAGATGGGGAAGTCCTATGTATACCTCAAGGGGATTTGATTTTAGGGGAAAACAGCCAGTGAACTCAATTGTATGCTGTTGCCTGCTGTGTAATGCTTTTATAGCCCATCAACTAGATGTCTCCAGGTCACCAGCGACTGGCCCTGACTTCCCTCCAGCCATCATCCCAACAGAGAATGAACTTTGAACATCATGGACCGAATGGACTCGGCAGCATTATAGGGATTGGTCCATGCACTAAGAAAATGATTTTTTCCTCTTGGTCTGTATGTATATGGATCTATGTATGTGGGAGAGCAATGGTGTATTGAAAATGTGGGATCTGAGCACGACGTGAATGGTATGGAATAAGGGGTGGATAATGTCCTGGGTTCAGCAGTAGCAGTCATGTTTTTTCCTTTGTGGTAGCTGGTGCAGTGCTGTGTTTTGACTTCCAGCTTGAGAACAGTGTTGGTGAAGCCGATGTTTTCAGTTGTTGCTAAGTGATGTTTGCCCTGACCAAGGACTTTGTGAGGCTCATGCTCAGCCAGGGAGGAGGGGAAGCTGTGAGGAAGCAGGGACGGGGCGCCTGACCCGGGCTAGCCGGGGAGGTATTCCATACCACAGCACGTCATGCCCGGGGTGAGGGGTAACTGGGAGTTACCCGGAAGGACACGGGCTTCCGGGTGGAACTCGTTTTCTTGGCCGGTGGTATCGTATTCTCTTCCCTTGTTATTTTCCCTTATCATTGTTGTAGTTGATAGTAGCGGTGGTGATTTGTTGCTGGACTGTTCTTGTCTCAACCCGTGGGATTTGCACTCTCTCGATCCTCCTCCCCGTTCCTCCGGGAGCGGGGAAGGGGAGAGCCCCAGTGCGGGGGGGACACGGACCTCGATTGTTGTCAGCTCGGCACCACTCACTGGGAGTGAGTGAACAAGTTACCATGTTACAATTTTACAAGTTAGAATACTTCTCATTTTTCTGCATAATATAAGGGTTTACATCACTGTGACACTGAAGGAGGTTTATGCAGGAATATTTTTTTGGTAGTATTGTTTTAGTACTAGTGCTGGAAGTGGGGGAGAAAATGAAATTAGGAACAGCATTTTTTCTTTATCTGTGTGAACTCTAAAATCAGGTTGATTCTGTTCATTTTTCTAAAACACAGCTGCTCTCCTGTGGATATCATGATTAAACTCTCTAGGCTGCTGTATCACAGTATCCAATGAAATTAATTATAGTCACATATCATTAAGAATTTGTGATAATAGTCGTACCAAAAATAGCCAAAACAACTCTTCACTGTGAAAAGTTTGGCAGCTGTAACACCCATGGAAAGGTCTCAGGGCAAATGGAAGAAAGAGGCTTGATTCTTCTCCGTTTTGCTTTACACTGTATATCAATATCTTTTGTATGGTCAGTTAAAGCTGATTCAGGCTAGATGTGATTTATGTCATACTCATTTATACCAGATGTTAATTTGCATCAACAAGTGTTCCTTGTAGACTCCCTTTAACCATCATATGCAATTATATATATTTTCATATGTATGTGTTCAGAGCTCATTCACGTGCTTCCAAACATAAAATAAAGAATGCATTGATGTGAAAAAAAAAAAAAAATCCTCCCAGGAAGTCCAGAAAATGCAATTGTATTAAGCAGTTCCCAGACAAGATGTAGGCTCTATGTTTATGATCAGTATTCAATCAGTCTGACAGGAGCTCATTCCCCCTCAAGCACATCTGGTGTGTATTTATGTGCTTTGGAATGTGGAAAAGTAAGAGCTAAACATACTTAACCCATTTCACCTAAAGAGGTGAAAAGTGGGTGTTTAGATATTACCGGGTCTGTAGCTGGCAGTCCTATGCACACTATGTAAATCTCCCACACTGGAAGCATCTGGCATGGAAAGGCATCCTCTGAGAGCAGCCAGCAGAGCCCAGTAGATGCCTATGCATGCTTAGCACCATCACATCCCAAGGGTGGGCAGAGCGAGGAGAAGGACTTGCACAGATTCTTCGCGTGTCTGTGGAGAAGCGAGTAACATCCCGGCATGGAATAGTCTCATGCTTTTTCGATGCACAGGTGCAAAAAGATCCAGAAAAAAAAGCTCGTGCACAGCTTCTTTTGTACAGCATGTTTCAGGTTTTACTGAACACTACACAGTGGCCTGTCAGTAGAGGAATCTCATTGGTAAATCATGTTTTGAGTAACTGTCACCTTTAGTGAGACAAACCTGGATTATCAACCAGTTGTCCTATTTTGGCCTCAGACTTGGTTTAGCTAAGCAACCCCATGCCTGGAGGACATGCAGCAAAACCCTTTTTTGCTATCAATCATTCAATGCAGCACAGTGTACTTCATACAGGAGGACCATTTTTTATTTCTGCAGGTCCCAGAAAACCAGCAGTATCACAACATACATCATATTGGAAGATACTATAAGTCACGCATCCTGATTTAAGATCCTGCCAACTGTGGCAGTTAGTCATGGATGAGTGATTTAGGTCTTTTAAAGCAGCACCATAAAAGGTATTGGCAAAAGTGGTTTTAATACGAATTTGTAAAAGTGAGACTTCACAAAGTTTAATGGCAAGGTTCACTCTGTTACTTCCTACACAAATGAAACATGCAAAGGAAAATCAAGTTAGAATAGAGCTAGAATGACTTACACTGAGACCAGGGATGCAAAAGGGTAAGGGAGACCTTACCCCTCAACTCCTGTTGAGTGATGAGGTTCAGAGTGGACCCCCTTGGTTTCTAAACTCTGATGGAGTTTAGGTGTGCCTAGGTCTAATCTTAGTCTCAGACCTGGACAATGGTTTATTTCTAATGGAATTATCTATACAAAGTTTATAATAATGGAGTATTGATTTCATGCTGTCAGTCACCAAGGATCTGTTGCTTGCACCCCCCCCACCTTTCCCCCCCTTCCCCCCCCCCAAGTAAGGGGCCTCTCCACCTTGGGTAAAGAAGGATCTCTTAGTCTTAGGTAAGGAATCTCAAAACTAGAGAGAAGCATCCCTGCTCAAGGGGAGGTCACTGATGTGCAGTCCAGTTGCAATTTAGAGGGAACTCAAATCAGACACATCCAAAGATCTGTTATTAGTAAAATGTGTCCTGCCTAGCAGGGAGAGCCCAAAGAAGGTTCACTTAGGCTGTTGTATTGATGGAATAATGTGTTTGCTTCCTAGTCAAATGGCATACAATGGAAAGGTATGCATGAGACTCCTTGTACCCATAACTTTGTTTCTTGATAAATGAGTCTTGGAAAAACCACATACTATTCATGTGTTAATCACACGATCGATGTGCCAGACTCATGCTTTGATGCTCACTGGGTCGCTTTGTTCCTTTGTGGGTGTCTTGAAAGGGTTCTTAACCTGGCTATGGCCTTTACCTCTATTGAGGCCTGTACCAAACTATTGCTAGTTTGGTTAACCGGTCAAGTGCATCGGTCACAGAAGCCCAATACTGGATGTAATTCTGACCTCACTTTGAAACATGCCATTTACAGTGACCCACGTTCACTGTTAGTATAGGGTGTATACACGATATGAACTGAAACAGGGCTGCACCTGCTTACCCTAATGTATTTATTTATCTCTCTGTATAGCTGCTTTATTATGAAGTGTTGAGTCTACTTTAAAAGGTACTTACAGGCAGATGATTTTACCCTGTAAATCACTTTATCATAAAGATGGATGTGCTTAATGCAGAAGTGGAGTTTGTGCCTTCTTTTCTTGCTTACTCCTATTAACAGGAATGTGTATGCAAATGCATATCTCCCAGCAGCTACAATAAATTGCTCTTGGGCACCTTTCATCTTGATTTAGAAGTTCAAAAGAAATGTGTATATATATATATATATATATATATATATATATTCCCCCCTCCTCCAAAAGTTGTGGCAAGGGGCAAGGGAAGTTGACCATTTGGGTTAAGGTTTTAACGCCATGTTAGCAGTTTTTGAAGGTGCTATGGCTTTGATGAGATAGGGCTGTCTTCCCTCCACTCCCTTGTATGTGGGCTGCTGTGTTCAATAAGCCAGAAAAATGTAAATAAGACAGATAAGATTAAGACATAAAATATAGACTGATGATTAAATACATTATGACCCTCTATGAGAAACAGCCTCAACAGAAGCCCTGGGTAAAGCTCCAGCTGAGATGTATTGTCTCTAATTACAGTGATCAGTCCCAAACAATCAGCTGGTTTCCCTCTATACCCCAGGCCTGAAGGAGGCTTCTGCTGTTGGGGGAAGGCTGCTGAGATGTTTCTCTGCAAACCTACTATTCTTCAGCTGTGTGGATGTTGGCCCTATGCAGCTATTTTGGGTGTTTCTCTAAGCAGCAGTGTGTAAGTAAAGCTGTTATTATATGTTGTGGCTGGAGTGTTATGCTTAGTAGGGTCAGTGGGTTCCAGCAAAGTTGGTTGTTTGTAGAATGTCATTGTTGCTTTTTCTTTCTTCTGGGGGAGAAATGGATGTGCTTCGTCCTGCAGTTGCCAGTGGTTGGTTGAATCCACCTGCTAATCATAGAATAGTTAGAGTTGGAAAGGACCTTAAGGTCAGCTAGTTCCAACCCCCCTGCCATGGGCAGGGACACCTCACACTATTCATAAGTACATTTACCATATGTGTGGTCTACTCAGAAACCACACGGTTTCATGTAGCATGGGCTGCAGCATTGGAAATACTAATTCTACATGTAGAAGACTGCAAAGGGTCACTTTGTCCAGTGTATCCTTATAGTGTGATACCAAAGTAATTAAAGAATTAACATCTAAATGGAGAGCATTCAATCCCATACACATCTTTGCAAGTGGATAGGGGCTTTTAGTCCTTATTTGGATCCCCTCTACTGCTTCCGTTCTTTGCTATGATACTTACATGCAAATGTTTAGAAACTCATTCTGTGCAGTTAAATGACTTGGTTTTCTATCTCAATGTTCTGCCACTGTGTGTGGCTGTAGCTGTATGGTATGTGTGTATATTGCAAAATGTTTATACACAGACTTGTGATTGCCGATGTGGGCTTGGCTGCTTTTGGTGTAGAATAAGGGAAGAAAACCAGTTATTATTTTGTTGTAAAACTGGAAAACATTTGAAAGAGTGGAATGCTTATATTGTGTGTTGTCACTGCTTGTGGGATGCACTGTTTATTCTCCTCTGTCAATTATAGGATATTTGTGAAGGGAAATCCAAATATAAATTGTGGTTAAACACACGAAAAAGGTGCAATGGCTAAAATACACTGTGTAGAGTGTTGTTTCCAGACCCTTCCCACTAACTGCTTTGGCACGTAGCAAATGACTGATAAAAGGGAAGAATTTTTTCTGCCTGTTTGGCAGTGGGCTGCTTCGTACCCTGAGTTTCAACCACTGAAATCAGTTACGCTGCACCAGAGTTTAAGTTTTGCATTCTAAGGAAACACCAGCAATCTGTCTTGAAACTCATCTCACATGGGAGAAATCAAGGTGTGTCTGTGTCTCCAGCACAGATCCCATGCTGCGAGGGGGATGCATGGGGTCAGAGCAATTCCCCCAAATCCTCTTGGGTCTGAGTGTTTTAGCTTTGTGCAAACAGGCAAAGCATTTAGACTTGTGCCTGCTTGAAATAAGTTTTCACTTTTCACATCCAAAGTGCCTTTGTCTCAACCTGTATCATTGTGAGATTTAGTTGAAATAGTTTAAATCTTTCTCCAGGTATGTTTCATTTACCTCAGCTGTGTTTTTTTAACAGCTCCACTTCTTGGGAGCTGAAAGCATTCTAATGTGTTAAGAACTTTCTTTACCGTGTTAAAAGTATGGAATATATTTGAGTGAATGAAGTATTAGAGGGGGAAAAAAGACAATCCCATTTTTTTTTACCTTTAAAGGGAAGGTGTTCTTGGTTTGTTTCAGGAAGTTGATAAGAATGTGGGTCCAAATGGACTGCTGAGACAGACAAAGGAATTACTGGTTTATTTAATGCAATTTTACTCACTAGTAAGATCACAAACTTTATCCTACAAATTGCTAATAAATGTTAATGAGATTTTACAGCTTTCAACAGAAAACTGTAAGGATTATGTCTAGATTTTACACCAGAAACTTCTCTGAGAGCAGGTGGTGAGAGTATGGCATGTTGCAGAGTATTATTGTCTCTCACCATGCCTACTGCAGAGGGAAAGACGGACCAATACTGTAGTCTTGTGAGGCACATCTAAAGTTTTCTTCCATGCTATTGCAATAAAATAGGCAGCATTCAATGGCAGGGCAATCCGACTTGCCCCACTGAATCTGTAGCAGATGAGATGGAACACTGGCATGTAGGTGCATTAAGGTAATCTTAGGACTGTTCATGAAATAGTGTTAACTTTCATCCCTGCTCACCAAAGGCATATTTCCATTCAGTGAACTGGTAGTAAAGTATCTCCCATAGTCTTGAAAAGGCAGGAAAACAGAACTTCAAAATAACTAATCTACTGCCTCTGAAATAGCAACATCATTTTATTCCGTGCAGAGGGAGAATAATACAAGGGTGAATTTACCATGTCCTTCTCTAAATGCATCAGTCTGCAAGAAACTACACTGAAGAAAAGCATTCCTACTGTTTTGGCATAGCTGCTATTTTTTTTTACTTGCTTGTTCTGGGAGTATCATTTTGGTAACGTAAGAATGGAAGAGTGTGATCTCTGGAGAAAGAGGAACTTTAAGGGAAAGGGAGCTATCTTAATGTTGTGTTTTCATGAAAGGAGGCTTTGTCCCGAAGGAGAACTCGCATCATAAAAAGTTTACTTAAAGATGGCCTTTCCTCGTAAGTAATGCATGCCTTCTATTGACTCCCCGTGAAGTTGTCTAAGCACACTATTTAATTCTGCCCTGCAGTGCTGGGGATTGTGTAAGACTGACCCAGCGTTACCTGTCCTGGCTGTAGGAATAAACGAGCTAAATGGTAGGTGGCACAGAGCAGAGCCAAACCACCACCGTGTTCGGGTGATGGTGCAGCTGCGACCTTGCAGGCTTGGGTGATGCAGTGAGAGGTGCAGGGCTGTGGGCATGTGCTGGGGCAGCCCCATGAGAGGGGAAGTTACGGCAGGCAGGAGGTGCCCTCACAGCACAGGAGCAGGCATGAACCACTGTGGGGCGGTGAAGCCTGTTAGGCTTCAGGCAGGGGAGAAACACAACATTTATTTGCTTTTGTTTTAATCACAACTGCCCTCAAATAAAGGGGGTGTTTTGAAAAAGCAAGGGCTTCAGGAAGAAGCAAAGTGCTTAAGAGAGCAAAAGGTTTTAAGTGTGATTTAACAGTGTGCCTCTGCCCCTATTTACCCAGGGATATTGTCTGTTTTTTCACATCTAACCAGTTAAAAAATGCCTTGGGAGACAAATATACCCACATCACCTGGGCAGGAGCAGTCCCAGGCATAGCTACAGGTTGTGTGGAGCAGAGATTTGGAGCAGCCTTGCAGAGAAGGACTTGGGGGTGTTGGTTGATTAGAAAGTTAATATGAGCCAGCTTCGGTGTGTGCTTGCAGCCCAGAAAGCCAAACGTATGCTGAGCTGCATCAAAAGGAGCGTGACCAGGAGGTCGAAGGAGGTGATCCTGCCCCTCTACTCTGCTCTTGTGAGACCTCACTTGGAGTATTGTGTGCAGTTCTGGTGTCCTCAACATAAAAAGGACATGGAACTGTTGGCACAAGTCCAGAGGAGGGCCACGAGGATGATCAGGGAACTGAAGCACCTCCTGTTTGAGGACAGGCTGAGAAAGTTGGAGCTGTTCAGCCTGGAGAAGTCTGTGTGGAGACCTCGTAGCAGCCTTTCAGTATCTGAAGGGGGCCCCTAAGGATGCTGGGGAGGGACTCTTCATTAGGGACTGTAGTGATAGGACAAGGGGTAACGGGTTCAAACTTAAACAGGGGAAGTTTAGATTGGATATAAAGAGGAAGTTCTTTACTGTAAGGGTGGTGAGGCACTGGAATGGGTTGCCCAAGGAAGCTGTGAATGCTCCATCCCTGGCGGTGTTCAAGGCCAGGTTGGACGGAGTCTTGGGCAAGATGGTTTAGTGTGAGGTGTCCCTGCCCATGGCAGGAGGGTTGGAATGAGGTGATCTTAAGGTCCTTTCCAACCCTAACTACTCTATGATTCTATGATTGGTGGGAGTAGACTCATTCTTCCAGAAGCTCCAGTGTACTGAAACTGGCCAGCTGGGGCTACCTGATGTGTCACTTAATGTTCGCTACAGCTGTTTGATTTACTCCTAGAACAGGAGCAAAACCAGTACTCACAACAAACAGTTAACTTCCACAGAGCAATTCCTTCATCCAAACCAATTTCCTTCAGATGTTGTGAACCTTGGGACAGCTGCATAATATTGGTTTTTATGTAAAAGAAATTGCTGAAAGCTCAGCTTTGATGCTTTCCACTTGCCCTGTCAGCCTTTACACATTGGCCATTTTCCTCCTTTACACAGGTGTCGTTACAATTTCTACCTTCGCACTGAATGAGACTTGCCAGATATGTGTTAGAATGGCTGCACACATGATTTTTTTTGTAGCTGTATATAGCAGCTACTGTGCAGTGCAGTTTCACTTAAAAGTAGCCCACATCATCCTATCTAAATGCAAAAGGTGTTTCTTCCAATTGTCCGACCCTTCCAAGGACACCTGGGTGAAGAAGGCAGGCTTCAGGCAAAAACAGAGGCATGCTGGAAAGGGGAAAATGTCTTGCTTTTGTAATGGGGCCTGTTGCAGGTGCAAGGCCACTGCTTGATCTTTGGGCAGATGTGCTGGGTCCCCTTCTTCCTTACTTCTATACATGGTTTTCTCCTTGATTAGTGGTTTGTTGTACCACTTCTGTCTCAATGGCCTAACTTAGAGCTGGGCTACAAATTTGCATCCTTACAGCCAGCTCAATGTCCTTAATTATATGTGTCTTTATAGGTCTAAGGAAAATTTCAGGTTTGGAAATGCATGGAGAGAGGAAAGGTTTCTGTATTTATAGGGCTGTGCATCTTTTTTCCTATGTAAAGGCATCTGGGACTGATTCATATTTATGGTAAGGCTGCCTTATGTGAATATAAAAGGAAGCTTGAAGCATGAATAATGGTGTTTTCTGCTAAAGCAATGCTGGAGGAGTGGCAGAAATGAGAAACTCATCAGAGTCCCAATGTCTGAGTGCAGTGGTCCTATTCTGAGATATGGTCATTGAAACCACCTCCACCCTTCCTGTATGGGATGATCAGATGTGTTTCTGTCGTGGTTTAAACCCAGTCAGGCAACTCGTTCACTCACTTCCCCCCCCTTCTTGCCCTCCCCCTACTCCCAGAGGGACAGAGAGGAGAATCAAAAAGAATGCAACTCCCACGGGTTGAGATAAGAACAGTTTAGTAACTAAGGTATAACACAAATCACTGCTGCTACTACCAATAATAATAATGATAAAGGAAATAACAAGGGAAGAGAATAGAACACCTCACCACCAGCCAACCGATAACTTGCCCACCCCCAAGCCCGACCAAGCACTGACCGATACCTCCTCCAACCCTGCAGACTCCCAGCCCTTCCGGCTCTCCATGTTCTTCCTAAACATGCCATGTTTCCTGGGCTTGCTTATAGTACTTGCACAAATACTTCCTTCTTTTTCTTTTTCCATAAATAATTTATGCAAAGGTCACCAGCCACAAACTGTTGCTGGTTTTTCTTCTCACATTATCTGTAATATTTCCCCATTCCAACAAGGAAGTTCTACCTTATCTGTTATGAAGAGAAAGCATGGCAAAGATTACACAGCTTTCTCTTTACTTTTAATGCATCAAGCACAGTCTTTTCCATTTCCTCTTCTTAAACAAGGCTGGAAAATTCATCAAGAAGATGCAGTCATTCATTTAAAATATGTTGCTGAATCAGGAAGTGAAGTGGACCGTAATTTATGCTTTCTGGTGCTTTTTACTACGTAACATTCTGGGATATGGTTCCTTTGCTTTGTCACCAGTTCAGTTCTGTCCAAGTCCCAAGCCAGACATCAACACTTAATAAGCTTTATAGATGTTAACTGGTTTTGTTGGATCATTTCTTGCCCTTCTATTATGGACATAGTATCCTAGCAAATGATGAGAAGTACCTGCTGGCTAAATGAAAATACCAAATGCAAAGAATTTTGTTTGTTTACAAATGTATTGAAAAGAATGACAATACTTCCTTTGATTTTTCTTGTTAATATCACTTGTTGGCTGAAGAAGTGTTCCTGAGTAAGTCTGTCCCATACCCTTTTAGTAGATTAGCTCTGGAAAAAGAGACGACTACCAGGGAATTCAACGGGTGTGATTCTATTCCTCTCACCAGTGTAAACCTAGGATGTCATCCTGAAAATCAGTGCAGTTAGTGGAGAACAAATTTAAGTGAGGACAGAATGATTGAACATACATGAGACATGTATGCAGTTGAGTTGAATACTGGCTGTATTCTCAACTGCATTTGCCACTGACTCTGGGATCCAAAGGGATCCACTGAACCAGCCCTGCACACCTGGCTGCAGTACTTGAGGTGCCACAAAACTTGGTCCCAGCCATGGTCACTCTTCTGTAGCTGCTGTCCCCTGCAGATCAGAGGAGAGATTCTCATCCCAGGTAACTGCACTGTCTTGAGTGACCTGCAGGACTGTGAGACAGCTGTCCTATGCTGCTGAAGCACTGCTAGAGCCTCTTTTCAAGGGTGGTCCCTCAGGCCCCAGAGTAAGTGCTGCATGTCTGGGGAAGGACTGCTGAGGGAAAAGCCATGCTGCACGAGAGTCCAGGCTGCTTTGAAGCTGGTGGGCAGCCCAAGGGAGTTGTCATCCCTGCTGCACATGGGATCCCTTAGCACCCAGAATGAAGAAGGTGTGATGGTGACCTGAAACTCTCCTGAAGCTTCATCCTCTTCCAGCACTGGGATTTCTCACTTTCCTAGAGGTAGATTATTTCTGTATGACAATAATATTGTCTAATCCTCTAAAATTCTACACTGGCAGTGCGTTCACCTGTAATGCAGCTGATTGACCTGTCCTGCAGAGCAAGGCATGAACTGAAGTCCTCTGTCCAACTAACTAGCCTGCCTCCTCTGCTGTGTTCATGTCAGCACAGCTTCCGGACGTCAAAACCAACCCATCAGATCTGTTTTACTCAAAGCAGCCCATGATGCCACCAGGTACAACAGGCTAATGCCCCAGGTTTTCCCATTTCCATTTTTATGTCAGCCTAATACAGTTCTGAATCTTTGAAGGCTGAGGAATTTTGGTTACTGATGGAGTTTTCTCCATGCTGTTTCCCACACGTAACTTTCAGTAAAGGGAAGGTCCTGGTTCAGAGATTCTAGGTGAGGGGCAGGCAAAGTTCTGTGATGAAACACAGCTCAGCCCAGAGGCTACTGAGAATGCAGTCCATTTGTCTCTGGATCTTCACGTATGGAAGCTGTAAAACAGCCCTGACTGCAGGGTTGCGGAAGTAAACTGCCCATACTTCTTTCTCCCTGAGAAAGCAGTGCCAGGTTAAAGGCGAGAAGCTCTCTTTCTTCATAAATTATGCTGTTAACAAACCACATAAAAATAATTTAACAAATGTCAGAACATGTTGGAAGGAAAAATAAAACCCCAGAAACCCCTCTCCTCCCCCCATCAAAATGTAAGTGCAAGGATAGTATAAAGCCATTGTATGATCTGTCATGAGAACCAGTGAGTGGAGAGAGCTGTTTCTAACACTTTGAAAGCATTTTGGGTAGCTGTAACCCACCTGCCTAAATTGACTTAAATATGCTGGTTTGTGGAAAGGGAAGAATAATTATTTCACCCCATAGTATGATGGGGAGGAATTGTTTTAAGAATTATGTCATAGTTCCTTTTGAGTTAGCCATGGCATGTTTCAGCCTCTGAATGACACTGTGGAGCTGCAATGCAAGTTCAATAATTTTTATTAAAATTAATGGTTTAATTAAACTCCTAAAAATTGTTGCCCTTATATTTTAAATCTCTAAATGTAGTGCTATAGCCTGCTATATATTTAAGAAACTTCTAGTTGGGTGTGCAACATAATTTAAGAATCACCAGAGAGAGGAGGAAAAAAAATCCAAATCATTAAATTATGAAAGAGATGAAGGTCTGTGCTTGCTTACAGCCAGGAGATAAAACACTGAATTGGTTTGCTAAAGAAACCTTTTCTGAGGGGTTATCCAAGTATTCCAATAAGCCTATTGCATAAGGACCAAATAGCTTAAAACCAAAGCTACATATAAGATGCAGCTATAGGAATTGCTGTTCAGATGTATAGTGTTGTGTGGCTCCCGTAATTGCCTCTGTGTGTGTTCTTCCCCTTGCAGGGAAAGCAGGAAAGCTCAGCTGTTTATGAAAGCCAAATACCAAAAAAGATGGCAAACAATCTGGCTTTACATTTTGCCATACCACAAATGGAGGGACAAAGACTGGAAAGAGGCACAGGGTCCAAACTCCATCCAGAAGAATCAAAATGCAAAAGAATGAGGTTCCCAGTGATTCTTGGGACACTGTCAAGAGGTGCATCTGAGTTAAACAGGAAAACTAAATGGCTCCCTATTAGTAGACTATTCCGGGTTTTGCTTTAAAATTGAGCAGGAATATCAGCAGTGTAGTAAACTGCTGTTTACACTTTTCAGATGTGTGAGCTCAGTCAGACAATAGCAAGCCTATGCTGCAGAGCCTGGTGTGGTGGTAGAAATGTCAATCCAAATAACTGAGACCTAATAACGTTGTCATAACGCAGCTGGTATTGTTTGGGAGGATAATCTCTTCAGACTTACGTACTATAGGACAAAAAAGCCCAATGCAATTTGAAGGGCCACTATCTATCAAGCTTTTTGCTTTTACAGTACTTGGAACTACACAACAACAGTCTGGGAAGGAAGCCATTTTGTGTCAAAAAACCCAAGCTGCAGCACTGTGGTAGAGAGAATGCAGATGCAACGTTGCAAAGAGCCGTACTCTGCTACAGTATTATTTATCTGATATTATCACTGTGGAGAGCAGTTCTGTGGAGATAAGGAAGCCACTCAATAAGATGCAACAAGACCACTAGTCTTACATACCATGGAGAACCTCAGTGTTACTCATAGTACCTTACTGAACTCAGCAACTCAGAGACTGAGCACAGCCAGCATCCATCTCTGAGGGCCAACTCTGAATGTACCTCTGCAAAAAGTACATTGCTGAGAGTAAAGAGGGGATCTCAATGGCCCAAAAAGCCATTTTGTTTTTGAGGAGCTCACCAATATCTTATGGCAACTATCAGCAATTTTTACATAGCATGCATTTGATACTCTGCTTAGAAATAACTTTCTGGTGCTGAGAGCTGGAGGTTAACTTGTTGTGCTGTGTGTGCTCTCCTCTGCAACCAGCTCCTGTGTCTGGCCAGAAAGCCCTGCAGGCTTCTGTTTAGTATCATGCATTTAGACTCCTAGAAAAAAAACAAATGGCTTGAATGATATAATAATGAAGGTTTTTCTGTATTATATTCCTCTGGGAGACAAAAGGTGGAAGAATTAGTTAATATTTTAGACTACAGGAGTTAAATTAAGAGATGTGTATGGAGTGTGGAAGTTCAGAGTTGCTGCTGCTTAATGGACTGCAGTCACATATCACAGCATGTGTACGTGTAATTGTGTCCCAAACGGGAGACTAAATCCTTAAAGATTCCCGCGTTATGCATTAGTTCTCTAAACAAGAGACAGAAATAAGACACAGTATTACTAAAGTACATGATTCATTCTGATATACTACTTAAAACATGCCAAGGACATGAGTTACAGCTCAGCCAAAACCTCCCTGTCTGAAATAAACATTGATCTGATGGAGCCCTGCATTGATTTTTAAAACATAACAGCAGGGGGCAAGGAGGGCCAAGGATTTTCACTGCAAACTAGCTGCTTCCATGATAAGAACAAGGTATATTTTCAGTGCTTACTCTTCTTTTTCTAAAATTGTCCCCAGAAGCTGTATTTGCAATGGCAAAGCTCTGAAGAATTCTAAGGGATTTAAGGCTTTTCTTTCAGAATAATTCCTTTTTCAGTAAATAGTCTGGAAAAACACATCCTGCCTTGCACATGGTGCACAAGATTGCAGGAACGTATTTTCAGGGTCATGAGCTAAATTAACATCTGGCTCAATTGATATTTCAGCTGTATTACATGCATTTTGTCTGCATGTAGCCCATCACTTATTTTACTTGCCCTCAGATTATGCAGTGGCACTTACCCTACATGCATATATTATGCAGTCTATGCCTAACATCTGAATGAACCTTGGATTTTCAGTCATCTGGCATACTTGTAAGTTATTCACTTTTTTTCTTTGCTTACAACTAACTACTCTGGATACAGCACAGTCTATTTATAAGCTTTGTAAACACTCCCTCTTCCAAATGCTTTGTGGTATCTTCAGTGTCTTCATGGAAGATTGTCAAATGAGGGAAGCAGCTGAACTGGAGAGGCACGGGAAAGAATGGAAAATAAATCCCCTAACATCAACAAGGCAGAGATTGTCAGTGTTAGCAAACATTTCTCTGATAGCTATTCTGTTAAATTATTCACGAATTTGGAGTAATAGGTTACCTGCTGCTATGCAAAATGAAGATTTGTTTTTTTTTTTACTGTCAGACTGCCAAGTGTAGTAATTTGAGTGCATAAAATTCGACAGCACAGGCAAGCAGCTTTGGTGCCATTGGGATTCTTCCTGTTACTTGATGATGGTCTGATGGTAGTGAGCAGGTTTTTAGTGCTTTTGTGGGCACCAGCATTTCCTCAAAAGTATCACTTAGGTAATAAAATGCTCTTTTTGTTAAAACAGATGAATATCTTCATTTCTGAAGTAATGCATTGTTTCCATGCACATGTAAGACAAGGGCACCCTTACCTGACTGTTCCCAGTACATGTTATTTCTTCCAGCAATTGATATGAAGCCCAGAAGGATGCTTCCTATCCCCAAATTTGCTAAACCAAAAGCCTTCAACATCTTTTTCATCCTCCAAAGTGCAGTAAACAGCATTGAGTGAAGGCACAGGGTTGCTGTTGGCTGTCAGAGGCATATGTGAAATGCTCCCCTTCCATGTGACCCAATTCCTGTAATCTGGAGTTCCGCAAAACCTGCGTATTTGATGGTTACTGGGATTTTGCAAAGGTAAACTGGACCTGGTAGGGATGGTATTTCCAAAAATTAAGGCTATGTTCATAGAAAGGATTGTGTTACTGAAATACCTAGATGGATTTGAAGAGAGGCTTTTATGTCTTGGCAAATTTAAAACCTCTTGATTGCTACTGTTTCCTCAGGTGTCTGCTTTGATAAATATGGTGTTTTAGGATGTGTGAATACTCCAAATAAATTACCCTAGTGAATGACAAAAAATAACCCCCCAAAACAAAATAAAAACCCCTGCCACACAACACCTTCCTCCTCTCCAAAACAACCTCAACACAAACTTGTAAAGAATATTAAGCATAGGGCAATAATTTTCTAATCAACAATGTCACTTCAAGAATAACACAAATCTTCTGGAAACCTCTGCAGATTTACCCAACTTCTTAATGTGTGTTTAAACCATAAAAATACTTTTTGAGATATAAAAGGTTATAGCTGCAATTCTTTGTAAAGGAATAAAATGTTAATTTTGGTGAAAGTTTTTATTAAAATCCATGTTTTTTCTAACAGGCAAATAATGATGCTGGTATATTTACATATGTAACTTTGAAATCATAGCAAGTTAGCTATTAAGACAGAATACTTTGCTTTGGAAAAGAGCAGCTAGCTTACATGTGTTGGTCAACCACTCTAAGTCAAAACTAAACATCTGATAACCATAAATGCTTTTCTGTATGTATGTTCTAATGCCATAAGTATTTAAGACAAAAAAATGATCCCAAACTATATCAAATGGAAAAAGAACAAAGTATAGATTTTTAATGGACTTTTTTTCCTCATTTGTTTCAGTGATGTCTACATTTTAGTCTGTGTGAACATCTGTTTCAGCTGGATGGTTTCAGACAAGGTTAAACAGCTCTAGTAGTTTCTGAAGGGAGGTAAGAAGTATATTGTTGAGCCTGTGTTTGAAAACGGACACTGAGGTAAGGTTTGGCATTGCCTGCTTCAAAGAAAAAGGCTAAAATCTGGCAGTGCGCAGGGCTATTGTGCCAGCCTGATATCTCTTGCCTTGCCCTTACAATTCATGCAGGTTGTAAGTCTTCCAAAAAGCAGCAGTTCACTTGTGTCCAGGAGAGACACTGCAGGTTTCACCCTGTATTTCCTGGAGGTCCCATGGTGCAATGCCCATCTGCCTGTGGAGGATCTGGATCACCAGAAGAAGGCTGGAGCCCCATGAAAAATGGTGCATGATCCTATAAGGATTCTAGTGTGGACAGCGAGGTTGCAAATGTAAGTTAATGCTGGTACTTTGACAGGTTCTGGACCTCTCAATCTTAATGATGTTCATTCATTGAACTGTAGCATGTGTGTTTAGGTCAATGTGTTGCAGTTACTCATGTCATCTGTTGTTCAACTTTTGACTATGGCTAAGCCAACACCGGATAACTAAACAACCATAAGGTTTTTATATCTCTCTCTAATAAGAATAATCCAGGCACATCTGGCTTAATGAACTTGCTTGATCCAAGAAGCAAAAGTCTCAAGTTTCAGATGTATTCATAATTTTTCACTTTATCGGTGTTTATAGGAAGAATTTACTCAGTTATACTTTTTTATATAAGTGGGAGGGGGGAAGGGTTGCTCTATGCCTGGTTAAAATCCTAGTCCTTTACTTTCCTGCAACAGTAGTTCTCACCCACATAGCTAATCATTTTTAAATAACTGAAGCACAAATTTTCATCTCTAAAAATAAGGTGATGAAAATAGCCTATTAAAAATGCTATGCTATATTGGTGGTACAGCTGTAAGGGATTTACAAAAATCAATTATATTGCTACTGTAAAAATATCAGCATTGAAGTTAGTGGCAGTGTATTTTGGTCTTGGATTCCACATATTCATCTGTCTGGTATTTTCAGAAAAAGCAATCTACTTCAAGTCTCTCTATAGAAGACTTTTCCTGCCATTATACATGCCTGATCTAGAATTATTAATTTGGAAATTAAATGTCCATCATCCAAAAAATACCACGTTGAACTTGACAGTACTCTTGGCTTTCTTCTTAAATCCAGAGATTCAAAGAAAGCAAACAACAATAAGCCCCATTTGTTTCCTTTACTGGGAGCTAAAGACTACTGAATAAGTCTCATGACTTGGGGGGGGGAGGCAGGGGGAGGAAGGGTAATAGTGCAACTTCTGTATTCATCACTACTAATACCTGCTGAGTCTGGAAACTCCTGTTTTGATGAACATTATCAACAAATGTTGTGAGGTTTAAATTATTCCATTGATTTACATGAATTTGGTATGCTGTGTGCTGAGAGACTCAGGATATTTAAAAACCAGTAGAGATAATTGGTGGGAAGTTGGAGGAGACTTTCAGACATACCAGAGCAATCGCTTATTGTTGAGATAACCATGTGAAGTTGGTAAAAGTATGTATGTTTTTCTGATTACGCTTCTCTCTTCCCAAAGATGGAGTTCATAAGTATCCATAGTATTATGATATTGTTTCTTTCTGTCTTTCAAAGTTTGGGCAGAAGCAATGGAGTTCTTGTGGCTGCCACAAACCACTATTTTTTTCACCATTCTGAAGGTCATAAACTGATCTCATTAAATTTTCTGCTTCTATAATCAGGGAGAAAATTCTGATAAGACTTTTAATGTGAGAAGTCCTCTTACTCCAAGGCGGAGATTTAACATGGTGTTAGCCACTGAGCACCAGTATCTCACCTCTCATCAAGTGAGAAAGTGGAGGACTGAGGCTTCTGCAAATTCCCCTTGAAGTTGCCAAAGCTAATTTTGCAGAGGCAGGTCAAAACTGTATTTTAGTTACTGCAGAAGGAATATCTGAGAACACATTTTTGCCTGTAGGGCAGCAGTGTGAAAACCTGCACAGTCCCAAGGCTGGAAGCAGAGATGGTCAAGAAAAGGCCTTTCTAGAACTAAAGCAGAATTGAGCATCTCCCACAGTTGCTGAGAAAAGAAAGGAGAATGTCTTTAAAAAGGACTAGCCTAATGCAGAGCTCTCTGCGGCTTGGGAATGAAATGCTTCTCAGATGACTGTGCTGGTTCTTCCAGATGTGTGAGCAATTTTTAGTGCTGATGAGATTTTGCTAGCAGGACGAGCACCATATGAGTATGAATAATTTAATTCCAAATTCTTTCATAGATAGTAATTTTCAAGTAATACCTGCAGATTTTAACCTGGAGAAAGATGCTCTAATGTGTCGCTAAGGGATTTTTGACTTGCCCTTCCAATGTGAAAGGGCACTGTGGAGCACTACCAAACACTTAAGTGTCCCAGTACTATGAGCTAGTGTTTTTTCACATAGGACAACCACAACTTTTTATTTATTTCTCAAAGAAAAAGGTTTTTGCTTCCTTTTACTGGTGGAGACAGGGCACATTTATAATGACAGAGAACCCCACTTTGGGGAGGGCTCCTGCAGTGGGCAGGAGGCTTTGGAGGGACCTGCTGGGGAAGCCCTGGTGCAGGGAACCCCACTGAGGTTGCTGAATGCCTGTGACAGGTGGTTTCAGCCACCACTCTGGTGGAGGAACACATCTGCTGAGGCCTGTCTTGATCTTTGTGTCTTTGTCAGGACATATCAGTAGGCATGTTAACTTGGCCATGGGAATACAGACTCTTGGTCCTATTTATGGACTTCACCTATAAGGGGATTTTCAGTTCAATGAGTATCCCAGATAATACCTCAGGTCAAATACAACTTCCTGTCTGTAAAAGTGGGTGTCTCTATTGCCTGCCTGGATGGCAAAGCACTCTATCAATGATGGGATAAAGATTAACTAAAAATGAAAGTAATTGGGTTTTCTCTAGCTTCTTCTCTGTTTCTTTCACAAGTTGCTCTTAGGTACCAGAGCCCCTCTTTGAGATGGAAATAGTTACTGTGCTTCTCTCTTGGCAGTTTGGTCTATTTGGTAACTGGAGTCTTCTCATTTGGCAAGCTATTCTCAGGGTTCCCACGTTGCACTCGTTCTTGCATTTTCCATTCCCTTATTACTTTCCTAATAACTGCTTCTCAGGCCTCCTCTCTTCCTTTAATATTTTCTTGTGTGTTTGGCTGGGCTTCTCTGCATTTTTGGTATGGCGTACGATGTGCCATCGCTGGAACAAGATGTCACAGCTTTTCAGCTGCTGGGCATGGGGTTGCTCATTCAGAACGCTTTGCTTCAGTTGCCTGTTTCAGCTCTCTCCACGAGAGCTTTAACTCTGGTTTATGGGGGGTCTCTGCTATAGCAGCGACATTCTGGAACGGAAGATGCCTTGTCTGGTAAACAATTGCTAGTATCTTGGCTACAGTGAGACACCTTTCTCAGCTGGAGTCGCTGGAGCTTTGTGATCTGGAGTCTCTACTCTGGCTTGCGGTTCATTCAGGCTCTCTTCTGCTTCTTGCTCCTGGCTGGATATATTCCCTTGTTTGCTCTAGCTAATCACCTTAAGGAATCTCAGTAGTCTATACAGTCATTTGTGGTTTGGTATTTTTGTCAGTCCTGACTGTCATGCCAATTTTTGCTCTGTAGCCTGGACCTCTTAAGTTTTGTCGCCTGCACCCACAGCATCTCTCCTTTCCTCCTTCAGCCTCTTCTGCTCAGAAGTTTTTGTGTGTTGGTCTTGTAAGGCAGAAAAATCCTCTCTGCTCTGAATTCTTCAGAATATAAATTTATGTTAACTGTCTCCTTATTTTGCTAGTAAAAAATGAGAATGGATAGGATTAACCTAAAAAGTAATCAATTGTGCTTTTCAAAGGCATTTCAAGATTTTAGGCCTATTCAAGACTGGAGAATACCGACTCTCAAAAACGTCTTCTATCAGAAGGTAACAGGCGTATCTGGAGAGAGAAGGCAAACACTGGTCATTACAATGTCTTTCACTTTCTACAAAGAAATAAACATGTCTAATGGCCTCAGACCTGGAGTCCCCCTTTCTTCAATTTTAGCCAGTTGTTGTAAAAGACATACTGTAATCCTTTCCATTTCTTGTACTTGTGAATCCTATTTGATAGCTGGGTAATTTTCTTTAACTGGAGCAGTATGTTAAACATTTTCTTGGCTGCCACAGTCAGAATTCTAAGTAATTTTGCTGAACTAGGTTCCAGCAATTTTGGTACGTAGCCTAACACCATATATTGTGGTGTGCAGGGCAAATCAGTTCTCCAAAGGGAACTGAATGGCAGTGTGGATCTTCTGCCAAAAGTTCCTAATACTGGGACTGTACCAGGAAACTTGTGTGGGTCCTGTTCTGCTCTTACTCAAGTCAGAGGTAAAGTTCCTATTGACTGCAGCAGGATAAGGCTCAGGCTTCAACACTCAGTCCTCACATTCCCATGTTGCACATTTTCTTTCAAATTCTTATTCATTTTTTTTTCTTTAATTTTAGGCTCTGGCAGTATACCAATCATTGCTTTCTCCTGTACATTTTCTGGAAGGAAAATCAGAGATAGGAATCATTTCCCTCGCCTCTTATACTGTTCAAGAGTAGCTCCTGTTCTGTTTCCCAAAGTGTGGCTGGAACTCAGCAGCTGTAATCTGGAGTGACAGATGAGCAAGTCTGATCATAAAAGGAGGGAAAAAAAAAACAACAAACTGCTGGAAAAGGAGCAAGTAAACAGAAGAAAAGCCTGTAATCGTGTCAGAAAGGCAAGAAGTGATATCTCAAAAGAATTACTTTTGCATTTCAGTAATCCCTTGGTTTACTTGGAGAGATAAAAGAAATCGTGGATAGGCTGTGGTCAAGCTGGAGACAGCAAACATGAAAAATGGGATCTCGGGACATTTACCATGGGAAATGAAACTCCAGCATCATTGTGTTGCAATGAGTGTTAATGCATCCGGAGCTTAGTGTCTTACTTGTAAGTATACAGACTGCTATATATAGCACTGGAAATAAACACTCGTAATCTGATAGCTTTAAACATAGTAGGTTTCACGTATTAGGCTGTAAGAACACATGGAAGAAGCAAGTGTAAGAATAAACCTGATAGTGATTTTTTGCTATGAAGCAAAGCCTACTCCACACATGACATCTTATTTAAGAGCTTGATAGATTTCATGGAATGGCACCAAACCATTCCAAACCCAATCTGTAATGTACATCTTAGTTCATCTTAATGCTAATAAAACCTAAATGAAATACGACACTGCAGTTGTTGAAAGCCATTCAAGTGTGGTTTAAAACAGAAATGCTGAGAAAGCCTTCACTGCAACAGTGTTCAGTACCTCCCTGGGCAGGCTCTATGTTCTCTTCAGTGAACAAGCACATTTTCAAAT